ATAATTCCAGATTTTTATGGTACATTTTTAGTAACCACAGCTGCTGGGTTTTTTGCTATTATAAAACGAACAAAATGTTTATTAGAGATTGATATAACGTTGAACTGAGTAGGTTTTAAATGCTGCTCCAATTTAAGCCAGCTATATTAATTCATTTGCTCAGAATTACACACTGAATATATTTAATGGATTGATGGTGCACTGAACTAAATCTCCAGCCTAGCACAACCTATAAAAAACAAATCACTATTACACACATTGTCTTAAAATCTCTCTCCTGTGTCCTTCCCTTTCTAGTTGTTTTAATAATTGACAGAGATCAGATTGGATATGCAGGGAAGTAGCATTTGACATTCTGAGAAAATACTAATTAGATTCCCACAGTGGCTTAAATACACTGACAAACACACATGCAGATTGACACGCACACACATACACCACACGTGTCTTCTTTTGTGTCAATAAACCTCTCCATTACAGAGGAGCAGACATTACCAAAGGGGTCTGTGTCACTTTCTAAGTTTCATTCTTGTGAATATTGCATACAGTTGAATACTGATGAGTCGCACTGATAATTAATGAAAGAAAGAGCTGATTCACTGTGTGCTTCGGTTGTATCACTTTATTGATTTACATTCAGTTCCAAAGCATGCCTGACACTTTTATTTTCTCTCTCTCACACACACTGTACCGTAATCAAATTTTGGGGGTCAGTAAGATTTTAAGAGAGAGAGAAATGAGAAATTAATACTTTTATTCAGTAAGGGCACATTCATTTGGTCAAAAGTGACAGTAAAGACATTATTTTGAATAAATGCTGTTCTACATGCTTTCTATTTATCATAAAAAGGTAACACAGATTCCACAAAAATGTTTAGCAGCACAAGTGTTTTTAATTTAATAATAGGGGTCATATGATGCTGCTAAAAAGAACATTATTTTGTGTATTTGGTGTAATGAAATGTTTATGCGGTTTAAGGTTAAAAAAACACATTATTTTCCACATACTGTACATTATTGTTTCTCTTCTATGCCCCGCCTTTCTGAAACGTGTCGATTTTTACAAAGCTCATCGGTCTGAAAAAGCGAGGTGTGCTCTGATTGGCCAGCTATCCAGTGCGTTGTGATTGGCCGAATGCCTTAAGCGTGACGGAAATGTTACGTCCCTTACCATATTGTGATGCCTGCGGCAACCACATGTGACGACCCCAGGCTGGACTCCGCTTCGTCCACGGTAAAAGCCGATCCAGCGATCAACAGTGCAAAGTTGAAGTATTTCCTCAGCGACCAGCACAGATCCGCTCCAGGCATGATGAAGCGGATATCATTTTCTTTTGGAAGGCCAAACAAAGTAGTTTCGCTTTCACAACGAATAAGAAAATACATCTTTTATATTTATTCAGAGGGGGTGTACTCATTTATGCTGTGCACTGTATGTTAAATTGTTCATTTTTGTGGTAAGTTTGATTTTAGCTAGTAATTTGATGCTATAAAAACAGGGCGTGTCGTTATGGTTGATTGGGCCTGCGGGAGTTTGATACCGCGGCTCCACCTCACGACACTACTGCGCAGACTCTGGCTCCAAACAAATATCTACTGCACAGACTCTGGCTCTGAATGACGTCATTTACTCAAGATGGCAGCGGCCATACTGAGATGCTTTGGCTTAACTTTTCTATAGTGGAAGGAATAGGAGACGCGTAGTCCATCTTTTTTTTACAGTCTATGGTTTGAAATGGCATGAGGGTGAATAGTTAATGACAGAATTTAAATTTTTAGGTGAACTATCCCTTTAATATTGGATAATTTTCCAGAATAAATAAATGACAAAGTGTATATTTTTTGTTTCATTTTTGATTGGATTCTCTGTCGACATTCAGCACTTCTGTGAAAATCTGATGATCTTTTGGGTCGTATTTATGCAGAAATCTGAAGGATTCACAAACTTTCAACCAGCACTGTAGTTTTAACAAGACAATACCATGACAGTAACATATTGTTTTTAATCTAGTAAAAAAAGCAACAAAAGTGCATTCCCATGTGTGATATCACTTTTATTTATTTTTATATTACATATATTATTGTGTTTTATGTTGCATTTTTGTTTCTTTGTTTTTTAACATTTATATAAGTTAATGATGTGCAGTAGGCTGTACTTTCATAACTGTAAATTATATTGGCAGTAAAATGCATTCCATAATTCCAGATTTTTATGGTACATTTTTAGTAACCACAGCTGCTGGGTTTTTTGCTATTATAAAACGAACAAAATGTTTATTAGAGATTGATATAACGTTGAACTGAGTAGGTTTTAAATGCTGCTCCAATTTAAGCCAGCTATATTAATTCATTTGCTCAGAATTACACACTGAATATATTTAATGGATTGATGGTGCACTGAACTAAATCTCCAGCCTAGCACAACCTATAAAAAACAAATCACTATTACACACATTGTCTTAAAATCTCTCTCCTGTGTCCTTCCCTTTCTAGTTGTTTTAATAATTGACAGAGATCAGATTGGATATGCAGGGAAGTAGCATTTGACATTCTGAGAAAATACTAATTAGATTCCCACAGTGGCTTAAATACACTGACAAACACACATGCAGATTGACACGCACACACATACACCACACGTGTCTTCTTTTGTGTCAATAAACCTCTCCATTACAGAGGAGCAGACATTACCAAAGGGGTCTGTGTCACTTTCTAAGTTTCATTCTTGTGAATATTGCATACAGTTGAATACTGATGAGTCGCACTGATAATTAATGAAAGAAAGAGCTGATTCACTGTGTGCTTCGGTTGTATCACTTTATTGATTTACATTCAGTTCCAAAGCATGCCTGACACTTTTATTTTCTCTCTCTCACACACACTGTACCGTAATCAAATTTTGGGGGTCAGTAAGATTTTAAGAGAGAGAGAAATGAGAAATTAATACTTTTATTCAGTAAGGGCACATTCATTTGGTCAAAAGTGACAGTAAAGACATTATTTTGAATAAATGCTGTTCTACATGCTTTCTATTTATCATAAAAAGGTAACACAGATTCCACAAAAATGTTTAGCAGCACAAGTGTTTTTAATTTAATAATAGGGGTCATATGATGCTGCTAAAAAGAACATTATTTTGTGTATTTGGTGTAATGAAATGTTTATGCGGTTTAAGGTTAAAAAAACACATTATTTTCCACATACTGTACATTATTGTTTCTCTTCTATGCCCCGCCTTTCTGAAACGTGTCGATTTTTACAAAGCTCATCGGTCTGAAAAAGCGAGGTGTGCTCTGATTGGCCAGCTATCCAGTGCGTTGTGATTGGCCGAATGCCTTAAGCGTGACGGAAATGTTACGTCCCTTACCATATTGTGATGCCTGCGGCAACCACATGTGACGACCCCAGGCTGGACTCCGCTTCGTCCACGGTAAAAGCCGATCCAGCGATCAACAGTGCAAAGTTGAAGTATTTCCTCAGCGACCAGCACAGATCCGCTCCAGGCATGATGAAGCGGATATCATTTTCTTTTGGAAGGCCAAACAAAGTAGTTTCGCTTTCACAACGAAGCACACAGCGCCTTCACGACATGGCGGCAGCGGCAACAATACTACAGCGAGAATAAAAGTTATGCCTTTCTTTGCGTGAACATTTGGGCGGCGATTTGCAAATCTTCGCACATAGTGAGGTAGATATGTGGGGGCGTATTAGAACGAGACGTTTTAGGTAGGTGTGGCTGACTCTTAACTTTTATAAAGAATGTCTCTATGGATTTGAGACTTTAGTCTTTGCAACTTTACAGATCTTCTTTATGCACCAAGTGCGTGTAACACTCCAAAGTCACAATGTTACTGTTTATTTTTAATCAAATAAATGCCTTGGTGAGCAAAAAATGATGTCAAAAATCTTTTCAAGAACTTGCCATTCCTAAACGTTTGAACACTATTGTTTATCTAATATCTTACTATCAAATTTTGTTTACTGTATTGTACAGTTTTTGACTAATTTTGTTGCAAGCTGGTCAGTAAATACCTTTATAATGCATTCTCTTGTTTTCACCACTAGATGCCAGCACTGTTTGTTCGTCTTTTATCTTTTCCTCAGCGGGGTTTTCCCTCATATTTCCGTGACATCAGAGCAACAATGATCTCCTAACAAACATTTAATTGCAGTGAACCAGTCAGCGTTTAAGCAGTGGAAAGTGCTGACGTGATGTCTTTGTCTTGCAGTTGTAGGAGGACGCACACACGCATGCGCTCGTGTTCTGCAGGCGTTAAACTGAATATGGACTAGGACTTACAATAAGATTTACTTAGTATAATTAGATTTTTTAATATGTATTTATAAAGAGCGTATTTTGGTGGATAGACGCAAACGTTTGGTTCGTTCTAGTAATACAAAGGATATGTTATCCGTTTTCCCAATTTTTTTAAACATTTTTTTAAATAAGCAAACGTTTGAACACTTTCCATATTCGTAATAGCCTACTTCACCCGCCATTTGGATTTTTTTCCCTTGTTGATTATGTTTTATTGCAAGCTGCGAAGGCTTATTATGAAGGCTGTTCTTTGATAAAAAGCTTTTCTGTATTCTAAATTATTAATGTGGAATCTTTCTCTCTTTCAGTCAAAGTTCATTTATTCTTTTTTATTGTTACTGGAGGAACGCTCTCGTTCCGGAGTATTTCCAGCACCATGGACAGTCCCCAATTCCCCCCACTTTCGAATAAGCACTTTGCAAAGGTCGAACCTATTTACTTTTCATGTTTTGACATGTACATTTGCTGTCGCATTTTTTGCATAAACACTCTTTAATTTATAGATCCAGATAACACTGTAATTGACCTGTCTAATTTAGTCCCAGCTGCTCTTAAATTGACTGTCATGGATATCCTAAAGGTGGAAAAAGAAAACCCCACGTGTTGTGTTGTTTGAGATGGTTTTAGAAGAGCGATCCGTGCGAACTGTGCCCTCCGCCCAGGCTTGTCTCGCGCAACACCGATACCGTTTCCTCGCGCGTCTCCTTGCACAGCGTCGCGCGCAGTGTGCGGGGGCCCCTCGCGGAGAGGCAGACGTCACTGCTGTCAGTTTGTGGCCGTTTGTCACATCGGTGGGTTTCAGTTCGATTGAGATGCTGCTCAGACCCGCAGCCTCCTCACAGAGCGCCTCGTTTTCTCGTCTTTCGTTTCAAACGGCGACTACCGGTGAAGACAAAAACGGGAATGAATCACGGAAAGCGACAATTTAACGGCGGAAAGAAGGAGAAGACGTCGCCGGAATGACCCCCCACAAAGAAACGCGTTTCCTCGCGCAGCGCTCCTGAAGCTCATCCAACGGTTTCAAAGGCGCACAACCAGCCGTCAATCATGCCGGTGCGACGAGGTCACGTCGCGCCACAGAACACGTTTCTCGGGATTATCATCCGCAAATTCGAGGGTCAAAGTGAGTGTCATCTTCCAGATGTTGCAGCAGCGTTGGTTTATTTCATTGAAACAATAATAAGAGCTGCATGTAGTGCGATTCAGTTGCGGTTTATTGTTTAGTGAGACCTCCAAATAGGGAGAATTTACCTCAACACATTGACCGTGCAACTTAGCCTTACTTCTATGTCCAAACTCAGAAATAGATAACGTTACTTTGATTTATTAGCGCTGTACTATTACCGTTTCTCATTATTGATGTAAACATTGATTAGTTAAGTTGTTGACAGCGCAATAGATTTTGGATAGTGTTTGGACTCTTTCTCCATTAGTCGTTAGGGAGGAAACTGTCCATTTCTGTCACCCAGTGTTCAGCTAACATCATGTCAGCATCTGAAAATGTCACCGTTTGTGTTGTGTTTGAGTGTTAAATGTGTTTACTCACACTACCACAGGCGCTCAGCTGAGGGGCCCAGTGTCCACTGCCAAAATATCACTCTTCCACGCCTTACTGTCTCTGCTGTTTTCTCTCAAATATAACTGTTAATAGAGAAGGACCGTTTCTGGTAGACAAAACATTCAAAACATTTGTGACAAGACCACTTGCGTAAACAAAACGCAAAATGCTGAAAGAGAGAAAGATTCCACATTAATAATTATTAAATTATTAAAATAACAAAAAATTATTTAGGCTTGTCCTGGTTCCCTTTAAATAGAAGAAGAGGTGAGGTTCTTAAAATGGAAATAAACTGGGCCAATTTTGGAGAATTAAAAAAAAGGGAAGCATATTTTGTAAAAGCACTAAACAGTAGTTTCTGGTAGACAAAACATTCAAAACATTTGTGACAAGACCACTTGCGTAAACAAAACGCAAAATGCTGAAAGAGAGAAAGATTCCACATTAATAATTTAGAATACAGAAAAGCTTTTTATCAAAGAACAGCCTTCATAATAAGCCTTCACAGCTTTCAATAAAACATAATTACCACAAAAAATTATTTAGGCTTGTCCTGGTTCCCTTTAAATAGAAGAAGAGGTGAGGTTCTTAAAATGGAAATAAACTGGGCCAATTTTGGAGAATTAAAAAAAAGGGAAGCATATTTTGTAAAAGCACTAAACAGTACTGTACATCAATTCTTCTGTTAAAATGTGAACTGTGAAGCTGTTTATATAACATTTTTTACAGGAAAAGGTTACTAAATGTGTTTTCAAAGTAAAACCATGTTAACCTATATTGTTTATATCTTGTGGCTGTAATTTTGCAATACTAAAGTGTACAAATTAGCCCAATTCACTTCCATTGTAAGTGCCTCATAGGATTTTTGCTTTTTTAAAGAAAAGGAGAGACAAGTGGTAATCAACATATGCTACAATTGCTTGATTGAGCTTTACTTATTGAACCCTAAATATTCCTTTAAATTGTTCCATACTTTCCCATTTTATTGATGCAAAACTATTTCTTTCCATCGTGAATGCATGGACTGTTAATAATATCATTCACCTACAAACGCAAAAAAGCGTTTGTTTTTTGCTTATATGGTGTGAATAGTAGAAACCAAATAATCCGTTAGTAATCAGAATGATGGCTCAATCAGACTGAAAAGCCTTCATGTAAACACCTTAATTCCGATTGAGTTTGATCCAAATGAAATTTCGATCGGATTGGATGGAGTGGTGTAGATCTTTTCTAATCTGATCGAGAGGACGTGTAAATCTTTGATCGGATTGAAAACCAAAACTGAAAAGTACTGCATATGTGAAATGGCGCAGAAATTCGTAATGACGTGGGAAGCATGGAGCTGTTGTTTTTGTAGAATCAAGTGTCATAAATGAGTGTCATGTTATTCTAAAATTCTCCTTCCACTCATCGTCTGTAAAGTGGTGCAGAACAAAGTCCCATCAGTCCTCACTTCATACTCTCATTCACAGACGGCTTGTTTAGGCGATTTCACTGCTTGATAAAAGCAGCACGGCACAAAGCTTCTTGTGCTCGTTGTCTCCTAATTAGGTCCCAAAATAGATACATTTTAAGTCTGCTCTTTAAATCCTAAGAAAAGAAGCAATGGTAGGAGAATAGTATGTGCAAACATCTAGAAACTGTATATTCATGCAGTGTGTGAATGTCAAAAGATCAAAGCCGATATTGAAGCTTGTGACATGTAAAACGTGCACATCAACCCGATCACTTTATATAGTGTTCATGTAAATACTACGTTCAGATTCATCAATCAGAATAATTTCATTCCGAGTTAAACAAAAAGCATCCATGCAAACATAGCCAGTGTAACGTCATAAAATTTGGCATTTGCTAATCTAAAGGTACACTGACTCTGCCAAAAGCACATGTGCTCATATGGCAGAAAAAAATAATATTTTTATAAAAGCTTTGAAAATGATTTACTATATCTTTTCACCTCCACTACCTATATACACTTTTCTTTATAGCAAAAATGTTATTTTCTGCCTGTTTCTACAGACAAGAGATTTGTCATAGCCAATGCACGTGTCCAGAACTGTGCCATCATCTACTGCAATGATGCCTTCTGTGAGATGACAGGGTTTTCCCGGCCGGACATCATGCAGAAGCCGTGCACCTGTGACTTCCTGCACGGACAGCTGACCAAGCGGCACGCTATTGCGCAGGTAGCACAGGCTCTCCTGGGCTCGGAGGAACGCAAAGTGGAGATCACCTACCACCGCAAGGACGGTGAGTATGTGAGCTTTACGTGTTTATAGTAGTTCAGTGAACCCGAGAATGTCTATGGGTTATGTTTACTGAATGTTATGGTGTTGGTTAATGTTTTGCTTATTATAATCTCCATTTGAAACCTCAGTGAAAGGAAAATAATGTTTTACACAGAGTGTTGCAGAAAATATGCCATTAAACAATTATATGTATGCTATTAAGTTGATTCACACTTTTGCTCAGTGACACTATTTGTTAAATATTTCCAACTAGCCAATAGATTAAGGTTGGGGTGGGGCCATGTGTTTACTGACCAATGGCAGACAGGGAGAGTTAAACATGTTTGGAGCATTTATTATTTTTGCAGTTCCACTTGGTGATGGTAGTGGCATAGAAATGACCCTCTTCAGCTTTAAATTCCACATTAATGATGTACTTTAATTTGTGAGTCAAATTTCTGTCCTTTACACCAGAGGAATACACTTTCCAAATCAATGTACATTTCTTTCACTGTAATGTATTTTAGGCTATGCCACTTTTTTATTATTGAATAGTACCTTTATTTCCTTTTATATGGGTTTTCTAGGAATAAACCGATACTTTGGATATGGAATATAAACTGAGAGAGAGAGAGAAAGAGTAAAAGGCAGAGAGTGTGTTTGAATTATTGCAGAGGAAGTTAAAGTCAGCACTGAAATGACAGCTCCTATTGTCTTGGACAATTTTGCTTCAGATCACAAGGAAACTGCTAAGAGCTGAGATCGTTTTTTTATCATGTTCAGCTATGTAGTGAAAGACTTCTTGTCCTCAACAGAGGACATAGATTTTTTCTTTCTTGTACAAGAATCATTAATAAGCCTCTTACACACATTAAACCCTGTAAATTACCGTAAAATTACCAGATTGGTTTTGCCCTAAATACAAAAACATGCTATTCACACGAGCGGTGGTGTTCTGGCTTTTTACTGTTAAGGGACCATTCAAACACGAGCCCCAAAATGCTAGTAAACTCTGTGATGCCAGTCAATGTAGATGACACTGTGATGTTGTCTTCATCTGCCTGGATGAGGAAAAGCTATTTATTTTCACTTTCTGTGCAATTTAACAACCTTTTTTGACTTCTCAGTGACAGGCGTAAAGGACCGATCACGCAGAACACGTTTTTGCAATGGGTTAAAACACGAGATGCTGCACAATAGTATCAAACTGCATAGCTGCTGTCCTGATGAATCGAAATAAAGGCAGGGTCTTGAGATGTAGCTTAAACATTGCATAGTAATCATAGTATGTTTTTATGACTTCTTACATCCGTGCATCCTGACCTTGTATGTGCTCATACCAAGCATTAACTTATACTTTGTTCACACATAACATCATGAGAGTAATCTGATGGTAATATTACAACTTCCTTTACCTAAAGTCTTAACAGTATTTTGCCTTGTTCACACACGATCTCTAAATGTTACTTATTAAAGACTATATATGTGAAAGAGTGCAACAGTTGGGTTTCCAGAAATAAAAACGCTATTCATTTTCTCCATATAGAAATTTCTTTTTACCAATAACTTATAAACCTTTTAAGATAGACCTACTGTGAGCTACAAGGTTGTTAATCCGTGGTACGTTTGTTGAAGCCATCCATTTATTTTTATTGTAATGTTGTTTTTCATTAAATGTAAAATATATTTTTTCAATAGATATAATAAACAGCTTTTATATTTCTCCATGGTTTTAATTTGATTATGTCATTTGCAGTGCTTCCCGGCATTGTAGTTATTTCCCTTAAGTACTGTTGCGATTCACCTTATAGCTGGTTGACTTGGTTCATGGCTTTTAATGCTTTAAAGGGGTCATATGATGCGATTTCAAGTTTTCCTTTCCTTTTTTCCTAAAGAAATTACAGAATTTTCATTTTTGGGTGTACTAACCCTTTAATTTACAAGAAAATGGCAAATCAGTCAAACACAATTGTAATCGCAAAATAATATACAAATTGTTACTCTGTCCTATATATTTTTTAAACTGTGATGTCAGCCAGTTTAAAAAACAAAACAAAAGAGAGAGTGTTCATCCGGAAATATGTGGCATACGTATATGCTCTGAAAGATACAAATAACCTCTATAAAGGACAAAAATATTTGCTTAATCCCAGGAGGTTATATGAATTAATACATATTTAAACAAATTAATGCATTTAATACATTAATACACAGTCAGACTTCTTTACAACAGCACAAACCAGGCCCCTGTCCACGTGCTGAGAATTCTTTCATTCAATAACATCAATATTCTGCCCTTATGTTTCTCATCTGGTTACCACAGTGCATGCAAAGACACTTTCTCCTCATCATATTTCCGTCCTTAGTTTTCATCTTTTAGGGTGATTCTCTGGAGAACTATAATGGGAGACTCTATCTGCTCAGATCTGTCAGGGCAAAAACCTAATTTCTTCAGCGTGGAAGTCATAACCACAATTATTACATTCTCTCTTAATTGAAAGTGTAAACTCATAATTGTGCATTATCCAGAAGGATATTATGATGCATTAGAGCCATCACAGATAATTCATGCCCTTTAAAATTTCAGTAGCAGTTTAAGAGCCTTTTAAATAGAGTTCCTTCCTGGAGTGAACATTCATATAATTCTGTCAGTCATGCTGCTCTGAGTATAAAAAGCAGTCGCAATTTATCTGATATCCCTTCTTCATTAAACTCCATGACTTCTCTTCGTAGTTATGTCCCAGGGGGAACTTTGAGCTACTGTTTCTAGATCCTACTTTATTGTCAGATGAAAGCTGTTGACTCTGTTCTGTATGTCTCTTAGACATCATATGAACATATGAACTAATGGACATGTCATTACATTGGTTTTCACCCGAGAGACCACATATAAATTCAGTTCTCTCTCTCTGAGGTGTAAATTAGGCTGCTCTCCTCTCACTGAGCCGTAGCACAGCACATTCTGGACCTGCTCTTTATAGTGATTTTAGTGGCTTCTACTGTGAATGCATTAAACTGTGAATGATGAGCATGTGCATGTAGAACAAAAGAGCTTTGTATCTTTATGTCATTGTATAACATTTTTAAGCTACACATTTTTTTCCAGTTTTTTTAGAATATCATATATGATATCTTATTCATCTCCTTAGACCCATTGTCAAGGCACAATTACTCCATCAAAACCAAACCATAAATGTGTTATTTTTATAAACTGGATGACATTTAACATTCAAAGTTATTCACTTTTAAACTAAACACAATCAGTGTATAAAAAAACAGACTCACAAAGTCACTTCATTTCCATTTAAATATGACACCTTCACTTATTCATGGAAGCATGAAGCCTACTGAACTTGCCTTATTCCTCACACAGTATTAATGGAAATTCAGTTTTAAATGTCAAATTGTGAGTGTAAATGACATTTTGCTACTCTTATTGCATTAATGATCACTTATTCAGTTTAATATTTAAATTAAATAGTAATAAGAAATGGCAAAAGGAAATTCTGTTATTGAAATTTAATTTGCATTTTTATTTTGCATAAAATATTGCACATATGGGTGAATGTAAATTAAAATACTCAAATGCCATTGTGCATTACATTTAAAATTAAATTTAGCCAATCTATTTATGTTTATTACACTGATCTGAAGAAAATATAATGCAACATAAAGAATGTTTTTAATCATGTAGCCAAATCAAGCGCCATATACAACACAAAGTGTTTTTGATTAGAAGAGGGTTCTTTGCTGAAGAGGGTTGCTGCAAAGAACCACTGAATAACCTTTAACAGTGTGTGGTCATATTAGAGCTTATTCAGTTACATTAGTCACACACCCACACACACACACACACACTGAATTGTCCCATACAAAGCTAGGTCCTCATGAGTATGGGTCATGCCTTATTTAGCATTTATATTGCAGTAGAATGTGATAGCCCTGCATAATTCCTCTGAGACTTCCTGTTTGAGAAGACACTGTTATCCTACACTGCTGGCTTGGCACATTCCCTGCTGCAAAGGATTTCATTCATTCAATAGGAATAAAATAAATAATACAATTCAGCTAAAGCCATTTCTTACAGTAATTTTGCATTCAGCTTTGTATGTTTTCATGCTGCAATGCATTACCCACGATCCTTCACACTTCTGAGTGCTTTCTTTGTTATATTTGAAACATTTTGTAAATTGTGGTTTCGTCTCAAGTCCTTTATAAGCTGTTCTTGAGTATGTCATATTGAGAATATATCCCTAAAAATAGCAATAACAAATATAATAAAGTTATTAACAGATCCTTAGTTAATGTACATTTACTGTAATTTTCAATTAACATATTGTCACATGTATTGTACATGAGCCATCAATCTGCAAAGCATTATATTTTTTGTTGCTGCTGTATTGAAGTTATAAAGTGTAATCAAATATGATTTTTAGATGATGTTTAAGGTTTTTGTTTGGGGGTGAATAACTCTATAGGCTCATGACAGTGTATATTGTCAGTCAGATAAGGAAATGTTTGGAAAAGAGTGACCCATGACTCCCTCTGTCTTTTATTCTTTGCGCTTTGCTTCGCTAATGAACATATGCTGTCATGTTGCCCTGCAGGCCTCTCTGTATGATTAATGAGCTGTGTTTACTAACACACGGCTCCACCAATCAGCACGCAGCTCCGTGTACCAGTCATTTTAAAGCCTGAACACAACCTTGTCAAAGGCTGTATAAATGCTGTTATTACAGAAATCAGGTGATGAATGGCAAATAATGACAGTCTGTTGTTCATACATTCAAAATTCACTCGCTTTAACATGCTGGCTCAATTATTCCCTTCTTTCCAAACTCTTTTAGTCTAGCACACATAATCATCTGGTTTTAATTTCTAATGAAATTGGAATTATTCACACTTGTGCCTCTGTATCTTGTATCTTAATTCTGTGAAAATGAAATCTATCGATACAGATCCTCTTTCTATTATGAGCAGATTAAATGTTACAGTTTCACTTTGGCAGAGACAGAAGAGAGA